ACCTAATCTTCAATACAATCTACCTGTGCCCTTCTGTAGCAATATACAGAAATTGAAATTGAAGTTATCAAACACTAAGTTCTAAATTAAATGTAGATGAATCCTTAAAGCTGTAAAAATGATTGATTTCCTCTTTTTTTCTTTCTTTCTCTTTTTTTTATTTTTTATTATTTTATTAACAGACATCACAGCAGCTAGGTTATTAGTTTTTTTGGCTGCTATTTCTTTAAGAGCTGCCGCTTCTCAACGTGACGAGGATCTGACATGCATAGTATTTTCTCTCAAATCTCTTTACCTTTTCTGACCCAATTCAGGTCTTTAAGGCTACGTTTATATGACAATGATGTAGTTCAAAATGGAAAAGTTTTTCCCTTGTGTTTTTAAAAAGTTTCACGCATACACGATAAAGTTTTCGAAACAATTCGCGTTTACACATATTCTCGAAAACGGCCAAAAACGCTGTATTACGTATGCCAGGCCGGTAGTTAGTGCTGTCACCTTTTTAGTAAACAGTACCTGTAGGGAAGTGACGATTATATGTTGTTTATGATGCGTCTCCGGTGTTGGTTATAATATATAATATGGTGAAATAAATCCACACTTTGCTGAAGAAGCGTTAGCAAACTCTTGAGTAGCAACAACCGTACCATGTACTCCACCATTGTTGTGTATGTTTGTTCGCGCTTGCCTTTAAAATCGACATGTAGGCCTACTGCGCATGTCTACATACCTAACACGTACTGTGCACACACATAACGTCACCGTTTTCAAAGATTCCTGTGTTGGGTGTTTACACGGAAACAATAACGGTGGCGTTTTCAAAAACTTGCACTTTGAAACCTGAAAAAAAATATGCGTTTTCAGTCCCCAAAACGCCATTGTCGTGTAAACGAACAGGCAAAACGCATAAATAGTTTTCCATTTTTGGTTGAAAACGTTGTCGTGTAAATGGTCCCAAAGTCTCTACTAATGAACTGACAAGTTGAATTGGGTGTGTTATGCCGAGTTCACACTGCACGATTTTCAAACTCGCCGGATCGCCGTTGTTTTCACACTGCGTGACTATCTGGGGTAGCATTCAGTTGCTGCTGTGTTCACACTGCACGATGGATCGGCGACAGGGGGTTTCACACTGCATGACTTCACAATAGGAAGAATCGCCGACAGCTCTGTCTGGTCCGCAAACTACGTTTCACAACAAAACACACTCGAGAAGTGATAAGGAAATAACGCGAAATTATTAATGTCGGCGATTTCGCAAAACCTGTCGGCGAGTGAAAAATCGGGCTAATATCGTGCAGTGTGAACTCGGCATTAGATGAGTGAGACAGTTTTAAAAACCATTTCAGAGACATGTTCTTAATGTAACTCGTATAAAATATATTACATGCATGCACAGTTTTAAGGCAGCTTTAATCGCCCTTTTGGTAACTTCATACTTAACAAACCACGACATTGCATGCACATGGTTTAATTCGAGCTTTGATATGAAATGATACAGGCTACAGCGCGCGCCGGCGTCTTTGTGCGTGCAATTAAAGAACACGCGCTCCGAGCACAGTATTGTTTCCATGCTGTTTGTCTCTCGCCTGACGCTGAAGTGAAGTTGGAGTGCGCGTCTGAAATGTCTCCCATTTGATGTGGTCGTAAAGACATTCTGTGACTGAATAAATGCACTTCTTGTCAAGAAAAAAAGAGACACCCTTTTAGACTTGCACTCTAATGTACTAACTGCTTGTTTTCTTTAAAAAAAAAAAAACTAACTCCTTTCTTTAAAAAAACAAAAAAGTCTTCTAACACTAGCTTGCTCTATTATTTTTCTATTCTATCTGATTTCGTTTTATTTATTATATAATAAAAAACTTGCTACGTATACTGAATTAAGCTAACTGAGATTTGTTATAGCACTTGCGTAAACTTTTGTTTATTTTGAATTGCTTCCATTGTCCTCATTTGTAAGTCACTTTGGTTAAAAGAGTCTGCTAAATGACTAAATGTAAATATATATATTAGGGTTGTCAGTCGATTAACATTTTTAATCTAATTAATTACATGATGTGCCGATTAATTATTCTAATTAATCACAAATTACATTTGGCTGTGAAAATTCCCCCAAAAGATTATTTAAATCTATTTTGTGTTAAACGAGAAAGTATTAAGTAGACATTACTAGGGATGGGTACCGAAACCCGGTATTTAATCGGTCCTGGGGCTAAATTATGAAAGACCGGAGTATCGATAAACTCTGACGTTAACGGTTCTGCTATCGGTACTGGAGAAATTAATAAAACACACATACATTTATTATCGCTATATATACATTATCTTACAAATCCTATCTCACCAGAGTCGCCAGCTGTTTTTCAAACATTTGTCTATGATGCATTTTTGCTATTCTCAATTCAGAAGCGAGATCGCGCCCACGCGGAGGAGCCCATAATTAAACAAGCCCTGTTTAATTATGATAGAAGAGAGAACTAAACATTCAAACATCTGCTTACAGGCCTGTGGAATTTGTCGATTTTGGCTTCTGGCCTTAATCTATCAATACATACACTGAAAACTATGCAGTGTTCATTTACATTTGATTAATTTTAGATTTCTTTAGTAGGCTATTACTTACCTGAACAGTACTGTTAGTAGAACTTCATGGAAAAATGACAGCACTATTTATTTCATGTAATTTGTATATTTGTGTTATTGTATTTGTCAGTTTGTTTTACTTAGTTTCTTTGTTCATGTTCTTACTGTATCTTATCTTGTGTATAAAACACTAAAAATGCCTGCACACTGGTGCATTTACACTGGTGCATTTACAAATTGATGTTTTATATTCGTTTCATTAAATATTTATTTTACATTTCAGAATATAAAGCAATGTTAATTCAGCTCTTAATTTGTCATATACAGGGGGTACGGAAAGTATTCAGACCCCCTTAAATTTTTCACTCTGTTATATTGCAGCCATTTGCTAAAATCATTTAAGCAATATTTATATATATAAATAAGTAAAAATTTAATAAAACAAAAAGTACCGATAAGAATACCGTTAAAGTACCGAATCGATAAGCAGTATCGGTAAGAGTAGTAATACCGTTAAAACCTTAACGATACCCTTCCCTAGACATTACAAATACAGTATTGGCCCGAATAGAAGACAACACTTAATAGAAGACAACCCTTATTAGAAGACGACTCCCCTTTTTCCAGATGTACCTTTTGGAAAAAGGCTTTTTAAAAACCAAGTCTTGTTTTTTCTCAGTAAAACACATTTTGTCTTCAATTATTTTCATATTGCATATTTTTCCTATTTAAATTTTTGTTTTGAAACTATGGTAAAAACTGGTAAAATGTACCAACAATCACACTTAAAAAATATACACTTTTTGATATACCATAAAAAAAACAAAACATGAATTAGGACATTTAGGCTATCCATCTAATAGTAGCCTACCAAAATCTTATTAACAGTAGAAGTTGAATCTTACTGTAGTCTTCAAATCTGAGTACTGTCTTACGTTTTAAAATCACAAAGGGAGTTTGGTCCCATCAGGCTAACGTGAGTCACGACTCATGCAGCTGTAAGGTTTTCTTATTCTTTTGTTTTTACTCGCGATGTTTACAACATGCAGTACATTATGTATTTCATGGCACACTCGTTTTATGTGTATTTGGCGCCACCTATTGTTGTGGGTGTATTATTGACATGTCAAAGTCTAGAGCCTGAATATAAGACGACCGCGTTTTTTAGATGTATTTCCAAGAAAAAAATATCGTCTTATATTCGGGTCAATACGGTAGTAGCTTTAGAAAGAAATATTTAATTTGATTCAACATAAAATTTATTACACACAAACGTTTAGGCTACAATAGCCTAACATAAACTATGGAACATAAGAGAAGATAATTCGAGAAACTTTTTTTTTTTCGTTCATGGAAGTCATTGGTAACCAAAAGAGTCTTCAAAATACCTTTTTTAATGTTCCATAAAAGAAAGTAAGTCATTCAGGTTTGAGTAAATGATGTTTGAGTAAATTATGACATAATTTACATTTTTGGGTGAACTATCCTTTTAATTTATTTTACCCTTTTTTAATTAAATAATACTCTGAATAAGAAACTAAAACTGCCAGCAGGTGGCAGTAAAAGTCTTTTTGAGTTATTCATTCATTCGATTTGTTCAAACGGCTGATTCATTCAGGAATTCAGTAAACGGCTCACTTTATGAATGAGCCTTTGATTAATTGATTCACCCGATTCGTACAAAATGTGGATTTTATTCAGAAACTAAACTCCGCTTTGTTGCTCGGAGATGCACAACAATTCTGCTGTGGCTTTATAGGTAATATTTTTGTCAGCAAAACTGAGCAAAAACAGACAATATTGTGTTTAAAATATAACACAATATTAACTTCTTATTTACTGAACTGCTTACTGAAAATATTTTAATAACGTTATTTTTTCATAACTAACTAATTAAGTTGACGCGTAAAACTGACAGCCATTACAATATTAACTTCTTATTTACTGAACTGCTTACTGAAAATATTTTAATAACGTTATTTTTCATAACTAACTAATTAAGTTGACGCGTAAAACTGACAGCCATTCATTCATTCATTCACTTGTGTGCCATTCCAACCCAAAACTTTCTTACACATAAAACAAAAAGCATTCATCTAGAAAGAAAGCATTTTGGAAACCCAACACCACTGTTTCAAAGAAACTGACACTCATCTATTCAAGTCAACTAATTCACATTGTGTCTGTAGTGTTTTGGAAAAATTTATTTGAATTTTATTAGGTCATAAATTGATGTCAGTTGCCCACATATCCAAGTGCCCATCCCAGGACAGCATCCTAATAGTGCCACTGCTTGAGGTGTTTTTTTTTTTTTGTTTTTTTTTTAAAGAGTCAGTGCACATGATACTTTAGCAGCTACATAGCAATACCCTGCTAACCACCCACAACAACCTGAACCTCATTCTTCTGTCTTGCAGGACCTCAAGGGCTGCATCTGTGCTGCTGTCGGATCCTTGCTTCCAGCTTCGCTCCATCCAGTACCTGCTCGGAGAAGGAGATGCCGGAGATGCCGGAGCCGCCAGTGCCGACCGCAAACACTTCTCTCTGCACACATGTAAGCCTGGACTAAACACGTGCCCTCTTACCCATCCTGCTTCATAATCAGCGGGATGTTAAATTTAGTCGCCATTGTATGTGTCACATTTAATTATTTGATGTACGTTTTATGGTCTAAATATACTCCTGTTTTTTAGAATAGCCTTCCATATCCAGTGACGTGAAAGTGATTGTGTTCTTAAAATATCTCCTGCTCCACCAATTCACTCAGCTCTGATTTAGAACACTAAGATCAAATCCATGCACTGATTGAGATGCGTTATAATTATAATCTGCTATAATGGCCTCTACATACAGTAAATTATATATCTCCTCTTACCAGGTGAAATTTAAATGAACAAAAAATATATATATATATAAATTTATAATAATTTTAGCAACTGCTTTATAGCTATTTAGCAATTTTATATTATTACTGTATTTTTATATTTTCACATTTTATTTAGGTTTTTATTTCAATTCCCAAGAACACAAAAGCCAATAGAGATATATTTTTAAGTCATTTATATTTGGACAACATTTAATATAAGATTATTATAATTATTAAAATTATTATTATTAAAATTATTTATTTATTTGTTTGTTCGATCGTTTATTTTTTTATAATTTCATAAAAACTATAGTATATATAATAAAGTATCTCTCTCTCTCTCTCTCTCTCTCTCTCTCTCTATAT